GAAAAAAAGAGAGAATAATATAATGATATAACAAAAATGCATATCTCGTAATATCATTCAACCGGTGTCGTGGAACGTAGAAAGTAATTAAACGCAATTTACGATAGGTTTAAAACTTTTTTCTTCAAAAAGATAATAATGATCTTCAATGAGAATTCCGATAAAATCGTCTCTTTTTTTATTCATTTATTTCTCCTTCTTTTTCTTTCAATTACAACGATTTATGCCATCGAATGATCTCGGAATGGAGCGTAGCCCATTCTGAGCGTATGGTGTCAGGCATTTTCTATGAATGAAAGAAGTCAACGTTTAGGTCATACGTATTAGATGTTCATTTCAATTTACATATGTTTCAAAGAAGACCCCACATTGTGTGTATTGTGCTATGAGGTCACGGCATTGCGCGAGATAAGTACTATTATCATAATTATTATTATTATTATTATTATTATTATTATTATTATTATTATTATTATTATTATTATTATTATTGTGTTGTTGTTGTAAATGCACGTAACGCGGGCGTGTTGGTCTAGGCTCCTCTCTTCTTATTTCTTTCTTTTTTTGTTAAAAATCTAACGATAAAAACCGACAGTCTGATAAGATTGCCCAAACAAGCGAACATAAGAGGCTTAAAGAATTTTCTAGCATAAACTCTTGCGCGTGTATAATATAATATACATCATACGTGCACGGATGTTTTTATATATGTACTACTAAAGAACAACTTTCCATAACCGAAAAATGTTTAACGTGGGAAGAAATCATGGGAGCATATTTTTCAATCGATCGACCGATCGATCTTCTTCTTCTTCTTCTTATTGTTAGAACGGATGTCATTCGATCTTTAAAATATGACAGAAGTCTCACATCACTTTAGTGATAAGATTATAAAAGGTACGCACGTATCATGCATATATGTATGCGTATATGTGCATATGCGTGTGTGTATGTGTTACGTGTGAAGAAATTAAAAGAAAATTTTTTAAAATTAAAATTGCAAATACATCTATGATTACAATCGTTGAATGTAAATAAATGAATTGACGAAGTGCCTTGAATTTTACTAATTTAAACTTAATCATTAAGGTATATAAAAAAAAAAATATATATATATATATATATATATTTTGTTTAAATATTAAAAGCAGTTTACTTGCAATTATCTTCTTCGCAAATGAAATTCTTTTTTATAGTCCTCTCTTTCTTCCTAATATCTAACGTTCTATCTAACGTCTGAATAATTTTTTCGCACGTGCAATTCGTTGAAATTAACTGCGTAACTTCAAGACATTTCAAAATGTTTATATTATAACTTATATTGAAACTTTCTGTAATACCGATGCAGTTTAACCCGCACGAGATTAGTTACCGACAGATGGCAGTATCTCATAAAATCTGCTCCACATTGCACATATTATGTTTTTGTTTTCTTTCAACTTTCCCTCAACATAATTAAAAGAACTTTGATGCTTTATTTTACTTATAAATTATAATTAGAGTTTAGAGAACATTGATGTATTCTATTTGATGAGATGACACTTGTTTCTGTAATGAAAAATCTCTATGAAATGTATCGCAATTAATTGATGTAATCATACGTATTCTTAACTCAATGCGTATACTTTTAATATATAGAATATAAAATAGATTAAATAGTATAGTAAATAGTATTATAAATATTGTTACAATACATTTTGCAAAGATTTTAGATTCGATGAGATGATACTTATTTCTGTAATGCAAAATCTTTACAAAATGTATTCCAATTAGTCCATGCAACCATGCATATTCTTAATTCTATGTGTATACTTCTAATAAATATAATATAAAATACATTAAATGTTAGATAATACTATAAATGTTATTACAATACATTTTGCAAGGATTTCAAATATGAAAATTATACATAAACAAACAAAATATATTAGATTATTATATGATAAATATCTTGCGTTATCAATAATGTTTCTACGTATGTTAAAGAACACAATTCTAATGTAAGGAATTAAATACTAAAGTTAAACGACAAATACAAAAAAACATTCTCCACAAATTTGATTATTTTAATAGAAGAAACTTTAATCTTTGTATGCATCACAAAGCGCTGGATATTATTTGGCAAAGCGATAGTATTAAAGCTATATTTCAAAGTGACCTAAGTACGAATACTTTGTATAACTAAATCTAACCATAAGTAACAACTTTCCATTACAAATCTCATACAATCTTTCATCGCTGACCATCTTACATTCTCAATAAACCTTAAAATTAAATGAATAGAAGAAAGTATCGCCATAAAACACCAACAGCTAAAACAAATATATGAATCTGAAATAGATGAAAGAAAATTAAATGTAACATTAAAAAAAACAATCCTATGATAAAAAATCCATTTTATGGACTATCCTCTTTTAACTCTAAACTTGTAAAATCAATATTACAACTCTTTCTCATTAAAGTTTCCCAATGGTAGACACTAAAAGACACTACAAGATACATTTGATCTTTGTAAAACTAGTTCACATACTACAAAAGTTTCAGTGTTAAATGTTTAGCCAAGATGCATTTTGACGAGCTAATCTCTTTCTTTCTTTTACATATTCCCAATCACTGTCATAAAAATCCACACATACAAACATACAAACAATACAGAAAAGAAACTAGATATACCCAAAAACGTACTTGGCCTCTCTCATTCACCCTAATTTTTTTTGCCTAATCTAAACCGACAAAATCGCACGGTAGCAGGCAAACATTATGGCAACATGCATGTTTAGAAATGCGTGAAGGCTATGTCCCTCACCCTTCCACAGCCCGGATTTATAGCTGTACATGTTATGAACTATAAGACGAGATGACGTTTTTTTTAGAAAAAGGTAAACAGGTGAACAGAGTAAACAACACAGTTTACTTACATTTTGTCACCGACTGGTGGTCCTCCTCTTCCTCCTCCTCCTCCCCCTCCTTCTCCTCGTCGTCGTCTCGGTTTCTTCCGGACGATTTCCCCCTTCGCACCGCTAATTATTTTTGACTTCGCGCAGCAACATTATTTCTTGACGGTTGTATATACACGTACAACATACGCGGAGGGAGGAGGACCGGAGGGCAGCGGGGGATGGTCGAGCGGGTGGCGATGGTGATGATGATGGTGGTGGTGGTGGTGGAAATGTTGCTGGTGGTGGACGATGGGGGGGGGAATCGAGAGGGAAAAAAAGGTCCGAGAGCGAGTTTGATCAAAACCACAATTTTCGTGACGTCATCGGCTCTCGGGCATGCGCAAAAAGATATCGGTGATTTTCCATCGAACCGCGAAAACACGTGCAACCAGTCGACACGCCACTTTTTCTTCTTTTTCTTCTTCTTCCTTTTCGTCGTCGTCGTCGTTGTCTTCTTCTTCTTCTTCTTCTCCACTTTCTGTTCTCTTTCTCTTTCTCTTTCTCTCTCTCTCTCTCTCTCTCTCTGTCGCGCGCTCACTCACTCGTTCACTCAGCCGCTACTCACTCTCTTATTCGCTCTTACTTATTCACACTCCGTTCTTTCGTTCGTATTATCTTTCTCTTTCTCTCTCTTTCTTTTTTTCTTTCTCTCTCGCATTCACTTAATTTTCTTTCGATTGATACACGCGCCTACATTGTTAAGAAACACGTAACATTATCGCATCGAAGCGGTTTGGTCTTCTACAGATTCCAACTGCTATTCGCGAAACCGACAACCAAGACTGCCGACATCCATCCATCCACTCCCACTTGTTAAGTGACGTACACTGACGTCATCGATAGTTTACCTTGAAGCATGACATTGAGTTTCAGGCTGGACAATCTTTTAATACCAAATTTACTACAAACTCACGATGCAGTAACTTTTCGCTTCAACGTTCGAACACGTACTGAGTTATCTATATTTCCAAATATGATTACGAATATATACGAATGTATGTTTATATGACCCTTATTTTAATTTTACAATTAATCTTTTTTATGGCTACGTATGACAGTGTTTATATACGTAACATATAGAGAACGAACTGAACCATTTCGCGATTATTTAATATGTTCCTACGCGAACGCTGATTGGCTGACATAAAATGGAGTATGTTTAGATAATTTGGACGACTTTTATAAATATAATTACTATTTAATTATCGAATTATTGTATTTACTTGATTTTTTTCATTATAGTAATTAATACTCATCTTTTGTTATTTGTATATTACATAATAAAATGCAATTTAAAAAAGGTTAATAAATAGTAGCCAACAATATCGCAGATATGAAAATGCGTGAATCCTATTGGTTTGATTCTTCCCACCAATTTTGTGTCTCATTTAAATGTAATAGCGTTTTTTGACAGCTATCTAATTGCCATTAATTAAATGTTCAAATGTATAACCTAGAATAACAGTTATATTTCACTACAAAATTATGAAATTAAAAATTATTAAAACAAATAAATTTATAAGATAAAATTACATTGTAATTATGTCAAAATGTAAGAAAAATAAATGAGATTTTAATATAAATTCAAATAGTGCATATACATACATAGTTGCATGTGTACCTATATAGTATATTACATACCTTTAAAATGACTCATTTTTTATTTGCAATTAGCATTTTTATCTATCTACGCAATAATTTTGAATGTTGCATTCATTTTACTTCATTGCAATTATCTTTCCTACTATTAAAATGAACATACTACTATTTTATGATAATAGAATTGTATAATATTTTTCAAGTATTAATACAATGATATATTGATTCATCAAATATTGATACAATGATACATTGATTCATCATTATTAATAAAATAATACATTATAAGTATTATAGTAAAATAGTTTTAATATTTAACGTTTTAAGACAAATCTTTACTATTAAGAAACCGTATACTCTTTTGAGTAAATCAAAATAAAAATCTCAAAGAAATGGATACGGGTATAATATTTGTCTTAACTATTTGCATGGTACAAAAAAAACCATCTTTAATCATCTAGCAATAAATTAATTTCTTTTATTAATAGTATTTATCTAAAATTTGCAGTGCTCATAAATACAATGGAAGATAGGACGGAATTTGAAACAGATTCAATTTTTTAAGAGAAATGGCACAAAATCTTTACAAGCTGTTAGGAAAATCTTATTGCTTTGGAGTGTTGCTTGTCGCATGGATTGTATCCTTTGGAGTAGTGCTTGATGAATGGATTGTATCCTTTGGAGTAGAGCTTGACGCATGGATTGTACTCTTTGGAGTAGTGCTTGACGCATGGATTGCACCCTTTAGTGTGGTATTTGATGCATGGATTGTACCCTTTGGAGTCGTAGCTTCTTTGTGATTACTATTTCCTGTTACTTTTTTATCGTTATCTTTCCGTGTAACAGCTGGTTCGTCACTAAGTTCAATTTTAATTGTTTTTTCAGTTGGTTTTTCCAGATTCTTATTTAAAGGTGCTATGATGGTTAATATTCCATCAGGTGATATCTTGGAAGTAATTTTATTGGTCTCTGCTTGATATGGTAACAAATATTTACGAACAAATTGTCTAGAGACGAAACCATCTTTGTCCTTTCTTTCTTCGTGCTGACCCTCAACGATGATGTATCCATCAGCGATTTTGACTTTGATTTCGTTAGGTTTAAATTCTTTTACATCCAAGACGACCTTGAAGTTATGTTCATCAGTGGTTACGCTGGAGGTACGTTTATCCTGTTTCAAAAATTCAAACCATGGTCGGTTAAGCAGAGCATTGGCAAAAGGTGACAATGGATATAAGCCGTTTATTTCAGGAAACAAGGGATCCTCCAAACTGTTATCTATCAGCCTCTGAGGCTGATCTATATCCGTCAACAAAGAAGAGAATAAAAGTGGCAGCAAAAACATAATTATTGTTTTTCTTTTTTTCTTCTTCTTAAATTTATATAATTTATTCTCTTTCTTGTACTTGCTTCTTGTTTGTCTTGAAAACTTTCACTCGCTCTGGATATTTAAACCACGCAAATACCAGCAGTGAATTTTCTCGCTTTTCTTTATTCTTATCTCGTATATATTTTACAACTGAAGGATCGTCCTCATGCACGTCGGTATTTATCTATAACTGCTCTTATCAGTAGTGGGGATAAGAATTTATGGAAATTTCAAGAAACGTCAAAATGCCACGTAAGGGACTCGGAAATCGACGTTTTTTTTTGTATTATACATAAGGAAGTGCGTACCTCTTTTTTTTCTGAAACCAGCATGAAATTGGTTTATCAATCGATGTTGTCTTTGTGTATATGTCGTTTTGTTTTTATTTATTGTTTCTTTTTTTATTTCGATGCATACATTTTCGATCATTTTCTTTGTTTTATTTTTTATGCATCGTTAACTTCGTAATCGCTCGCATTAGTTATGTCAAGGAAACAAAATTTAAATGTTTTATATCTCATACGAAACTGACTTATCATTTGTTATTTAAAATTCTATTTTTAAAAATGAATTTTAATTTTGCTTCGTTCCCTCAATTTTTAATGAACTTTTTTGTAAATTAAAATTTAAAGTTGCTAGGATTTTTGTATGGAACGTGCAAAAATTTAATTATTTATATTATTCGTGCTATTTTATTATTAAAATTAATTTAATATGATATATGTTTGTGTATACGTAAAAAAAAAATTTGTAATTTAACTGGGAAATAAAGAAAGAAATAAGTCATATACACGTATTTTCATGCATCTGTTTAAACTTATTTTGTGTAACAATGCTGTTGACTCACTCATAGTATGATGAAATTTTTTCCTCTATTTTTAAAAAGAGGAGTCAGTTATTTACAAAATTATGCGTAATTTTCAATAAACGTTCTTCGGACATTTTTTTACATTGTTTAAAAACCAAAGCTATATTACTAATTATAGTTTTCATTTACGTTTTTAAAATATTCCATACAAGTAGATGTCCCAGTTATTATTTTTAGGTTCTAAATTTAAACGTAAGACGTGTTCGTGAACGAAAAATTGTTTTATGTTTCAACATTTTGTATAATAAAGAAAAAGAAAGAATTTAAAATTATGCGACGCTAGAAATTAGTGTTTAATCGATTGATAATCTACTGACAATGAGTCAAAATAACTGTTTACATAAAAAATGATCCAATTAAAATCTTTTTACGTGGCCAAAATCATTCTGATGTTATCGATTCGAATTGTTATTACGTGGTTTTCACATTTTGATATATAATACCTAATTTCAAACTAGCTGACGTGTCTTATTGTTAGTACGTCTAATCCAGATAATCATTACGAGAAAAAGAATTTCTTCGTGATTTGTAAAAACAGAAAATATATAAACATATGTATAAACAAATCGGGGGGTTTTCTGTTCTTAGAAATTGCATTTAAATAAAAAAAAAACAAGTTCTATTTTATAAATTGCTAAAATAAATTATTAAAATATTTGGGATAATTAAAACTACAAAAAAAACAAATGATGAATCTCATAAAATGTAATCAAATTTCATTATTTTGAATGAACGAACTTTGAAATACGCTAACAATAAAATTATTTATACATTCTGTAAAGACCGCCTTTGAAATCGTTCGAGGTAAACATTCTAATCTTCTAATCGTCTGAATCCATTCTCTGAATTATTCTAAATTCATAAATAACGCATATATAAATACTTAACATATGTATTGTCTCGGGAACGTTCTCTTTCGTTTACATATCAAATATTCGAAAAATCTCGATAATTCAAAACTTCACATATATATATAAATACTTATTTATTTCTTTTTCTTCTTCCATTTACAATGTTAAATTCTCTTTTTCTTGCATTTTGCGATTTACTGTCCTAACATTAATATTAATTCAACCTATTTAATATCGAGTTCATTTAATTTATATTCTTAATATAAACAAAATTCACATAACTATCATTAATATAAAACTATCTCAAAAAAAATTCTTAATTAAATTAATTATTAAAGTAGAAAAACACAAAAACAAACATTACGTATTAAATTTCGATTAAAAATTTAACAAATTTGTACTTATTTGAACAAAATTATGTAGAAGTACGTTTTCAAAGGTCAAGGCTATGCGTGCAGTCACGTCAATCGTGAGAAATCGTTGGTACGTTTCGTTGAAGAGACGAGTCTCGTTTTACAAAATGATCGGGAGAGAAAGAGGAGAGAGAGGAGGAGAGGTCGAGAATGATCGAGAGTAAGAAAGAATAAAGATACAACAACGGTCAACGTACTCTTTGAAGCTTCGAGACATAACACATGGACGAATGCGTCGACGCAATGAAAACTTTCCGTCTGATCACCGCCTACTATCAATTTTCAAATTGCGATTTCAATACGTTTGTTTATATAAATAATATGAAAGTTTATTCAAAAGAATACGTGAGAGTTTTTGGAAAAGAAATTGCATCATGCTTTATTCATTTTTCTCAATCTATTTTATCCTAAAAATAAATTGTGTTTTCTTGCATATACAATAAAAAAAGTTCATTTGAAGCTATTCCTATACATGAGACATTTTTTAAATTAATTACATCGTTTTTTTATTTTTATAAATATTTTTTTACCATAAAAATAAATAATAATCAAGATAGCAACATCTGCAAGAAAATTTAAATAAAAAATATGATTTGTTAGAGAAAATTAATATTAACTAATTGTAGAAATATCTTGCATCTTGTTTTTATTTATTTTTAATACGTCGAATGTGAATTGATAACAAACGTTGTTTATACCGTACGTTTATCTAATCAGAAACGAGAATATTGGAAGAATTTTCATGAGAATTATTGTTTCTCTGTAAACTGTATTTATTTTTTCGCTAAAACTTTACGTCGTATTTTTCGATGTTTTATTAATGAATCTTATTAATTATTAATTTGATATCGTATGTATTTATGCATATCCATTGCTTATGTATTGTCGTGTATTTGAAAATAACCACGGCTGATGCACTTCAACATTTTCTCTTACGTTGACGTTCTATTTTAAAAACTTGAAACACGTTTTATTAATGTAACGACACGTAAGATGGTTACGTTCATTTTCTAATTAGTTGCATTTATTTCTCTCCATAATACAAAATTTTAAATATTCGTTAAAAAAAATCCACAGAATCTTATATCATTTTAAAAAAATTACAAAATTTCATTTAAAAATTGTATATAAATGTTTCTAAGCAACCAAATGTAGGAAAATATTAAGCAAACGAGTTCTGCATTGACATCAATTAAAAAGATAAGAAAAGAATATTTTTGTATATCAAGCAGAATGTTCTGAACAATTATGAGACCTTGAAACATTTTTATGTACGAACATACCTTGAAAATGATTAAATAAACAAGTCTCTTCATTGATTTACATCATAAATACAAAAAAAAAGGAAAGAAAATTGTTTTGATACGTTTTAGAAAGAAAAAAGACATGCGTGTATTGTCTCGAAATTTCGATAGAAGACTCGAATAATCTTTCAGCGCGTCACCTCATTTCGAACGGATATAAAAGCACGCCACCAAGATACCTAGACTCAGTTAACGTGCAACTAACAACGAGTAAACTTTATAAGCAAAAATTAAACTATCAACGCAGTGTTCAGAGGTTTTAAAATCCAATTTGAAAACATTAAAGAAGGAAACGTTTTGAATAAAAACATAGATGAGAATAAGAATGTCACTGATACCAAGATTATTTTCACATTGGTGGGAGACATTGGAACAACCACATAGATTATGGGGTCAACGTTTTGGTATGGGAATCCATCCAGAAGAATTTTTCCAACCATCCGTGTTAAACCGATTGGAGAATAGAAGATTGTCACCACTATTAGCATCATCACCATCGTTTTACAATTATTATCGACCATGGGCTGATCTAGTACGTGACGAAGATACCAGTGGTTGGTCTGTCGTTAAAAATGACAAGGATAAATTTCACGTAACTTTAGATGTTCAACAATTTAAGCCTGATGAGATTAACGTCAAAATTGTCGATAATTACATCATAGTTGAAGGTAAGAATCAATGTTGCATTCATTTTAATTCAAATGCAATAAACCAACGTTGTTGAAAATTAAAGTTACTTACCTGATTAAATGAATTTTGATTTTTAATTTGATTAAATTTGCAATTATTTTTTATATTGTTAAACAGGCAAACACGAAGAAAAAGAAGATGAACACGGTATCATTTCGAGACAGTTTGTTCGAAAATATTTAATACCTGACCAATGTGATCCTGAAAAAGCAACAAGTTCCTTATCATCTGATGGTGTCCTCACGATAACAGCACCTAGGAAACCAGAGGCTATTGAAGAAAAGAAGGAACGAACTATTAAAATCGAACATACTGGAAAAACAGCTTTGGAAAAGGAAGAGGAGAAGAAGGCTGCTGTTGAACAATGAACAAAAAATATAATTTAATTAATATTTTATCCTACGATCACTATCATTCATTTCTTTTTGTATTACATTTATACATTATCATACATATTATTTTTTATTAGTTATTATTATTAATGATCTATTAGTAATAATATTTTGTAGTACCTGTATTTTAATAGAATATTTTTAATAATACAAATTTGTTATCTATTTGAAATCGACTTCTTGCATAAAACAAATCCTTCTCGTACCCACAAATTATACAGATAATTGGCAGAATTGATTAGATCGTACGATGATCGTGCTATAATTGCTCTAAAATTACTTCGAACCTACGTAAACATCTAATTATGAAATTTCGTGATTTATGGAATAAGATTACGTTGCAAGAATGATAGAAATTGCTGATGATTGCAACTAATATTCGAATTCAATTGTAATAGAAAAAAAAAATAATTGGTTTTTTATTGAAATATTTTTTTATTTCGAACAGTAATTCGACTTTGAAATCGCTTATTATATAATTAGATACTTTTTATGTAACTTCTCTGTAAAAAAAAAAAAACATACAATTTATACTTTGTATTGAAGTATGAATTTCAAAATAGAAATTTTTATATGACATTACAAAATATTATAAATGAAATTGCAATTTTTTGTTTTCATACGAGCAAAGATTTTACTCTGTAATATTTTATTAAGAATTAAATTTTGCTTTGGTTTTATTATTTTTATTCGTATAAGTTTGTGGGTTAAATTATTTCAAACTATTTTTAGATGTTGACAAAACCAAAAATACCAAAAGACTATGCGAATTAAGCTGTTATTTTGATCTGCTACCGTCATTGTTTACGCCGTATCGCTTGTTACCACCGGCAACGCATTTATATTCTGTATCAAATTTTGTTTCGTGATATTAAATTTAATCGATAAATATCTTTCAAAGACAAGTAATTTTATGAATTTTCTTAATCTTTTCCAAGCTTTTATCTAATATTTTTTAATGCTCAATATTTCTATTAACAAATAAATGAAAATGAACAAATTCAAATTCCTACGATTCATTGAACAAATTTATTTAAATATAGGAAAATAAAAAATATGAAAAATACGAATTTTCCACAAATAGTTGAATTTTTATGTTAAACATTATTTCATTTCTAAAATAAATGAATTGTATCTTTGAAATTTTAATTTGAAGGAAAAACAACGCAGATTGACAAGACTTTTGGATTAATGCAATAAAATACGTGTATTTATTAAATTATAAAAAGAAACAATATTTTTTAAATATGTTTAGAATATTCTTTGTTATAAAGAACACATTACGAAGAAAAAAGAACACTAAACACACTTAGTCGTAACTCTTAAATACTAATATTAAGAAATGAAATGTTTGGTTTATTTAACTGCTAACATTGTCCTAATATAAATGTGCAAATGACATTGTATTGGATAGAGATATTATGTATACAATAATTGTTCTACAATATTATATACCAGCATTTCAAATGTAGCAGTTATAATAAGTTTATAAGTGTAAGTATAAATGTTGTATTATCTTGTGTATAATATTATCTTAACTCTAATGAGATATAATATATGAGGAACTATTATTAATTATTATGAAATGGTAAAGTAAAAATTATTAAGAGAAGAATGATCAAGAAAAAGTAAATAAGAAATGTCAATATTAGTCCAATATTCTCTCTCTGATTTTACTTCTTTAAGAGAAGAAAATACTTTTACTTATTTTCTTCCTCCTTGTTCTCCACCTCTTCCTGTTTCTTCTGAGCCTTCTGGGACTGGACTGCAGGTCTTCCAGTATGTTCGATCTTGATGGTTCTTTCATTGTCCACCTTTTGTTGTTCCTTTCTCGGAGCAGTGATAGTCAAAATACCATCGGAAGACAATTTCGATGTAACCTCATCGATCTCACATTGTTCTGGAATCATATATTTCCGAACAAATTGTCTCGAGATCCATCCGTGCTCGTCACGTTTTTCTTCGTGTTTAGCCGTAACTACGACAAATCTGTCAACAACTTTAACGTCGATCTCATTCGGTTGGAATTGTTGAACGTCCAAGACAACTTGAAATTTGTCTTTGTCAGCGTTAACCACCGATGATCCGTTATCTTTCTGACGAATCATTTCAGCCCATGGACGATAATAACCCATCGGGCATCTTTCTCTCGGTCTGAGCAATTCCATTCTGCTCGGAATGGCCACCAGTTGATCAGGTGTCAATGCCAGACCAAAATTTTGATCCAAAAGACGATGTGGTCGTTCCAAATCCTCCCACCAATCGGAGAAAAGAAGCGGTAAAAGCGACATGTTTAAAAATTTAGATTTTTAATATTCTTCCAACCAAGAAATCGTTGTTTCTTCTCCTTCTTATATCTTCTTTTATTTCGTTGTTCTTAGATAATTTTGTTATACTCGCTTTAGAGTTCGCTTGGAAAGTTCTCTCTATTATGTACTCACTCGTAGCTTGCTCGGCTTAAACTGACATCTGCCTGTACTCTGCCGGCTTTATATTGATCGTCCGTTCTCCCAAACGAACATTCACGAAGCCTCGAGAAAGAAGATAGCGCCGACGCGTTTTCATTGACGTTTTCTCTCTTTTTCTCTATGTTTTTCTAAACCTAATAAATTTCATTTTTTTTATCGATTGAATCGTTATTATTTCATTTGATCCTTTTCGATATTTTGCTTAATTATTTGAAATTATTTCTATATAATCTTGTTTTCCTTTATTTTCTGACAATGAGAAAGGAACTAGAATTTTCGATCTCTTCTAAATGCTAACGTGCGTTCATTCTCAACCGTTCGTTGATCGAAGGTCGAATTAAATTTACAAATTGTCTTTCCCTTTCTTTTCCTTACAAATTTTGTTATTGTTCATATTATTTTTTTTTTTTTCATTTAAAAAAAAAAGTTATTGTAGTTATTTAATATATGGTAGAAAGTTCTCGATATTGAATTTATCAGATACTACAGTCATTTTTATCAAAATGTCTCAAATTAGCTTATTGTTCTTTCTATTGCATTTTTTAATACGCAACAACATTTTTAAAGGCACTTAAAAGGGAGAATTATTATTAATTTAAATTATGTTTTCATATTTTGTAAGCCTGAAATGACAAGCAGAAAATTAAGACTTAAATTTTAATCGATGACATTGCAACTATGATTTAAATACCAACAATACAATTTGATTTAAAAAAAGAAAATTTACTTTTTTTATTTTTAAAATAGCTTTAAATAAAATTAAATCTTTTTATGCATATGTCGATACTACAAATTTAGGATCTTATTTGTCTTTATGTTTATAATGAATTAAACAATTACACAATTATCAAATCATTTTACTGAAAGTTTTAAAAATTATGTTGAAAATAAATTCAAAATTTACAAGTTATAATTCAATGTGCTATTTTTTACGATTTCATGATTGATTTAATTATTATAAATAATAAAATAATTTTTTCAAATGATTTTCAAACGAAACCTTGGAAAATAACATTGAGAATTCGTTATCTTTTTATAAAATTACGTTCGAGGTCTATAACCTGTAATCCAATGTGTACTACAGTGTCTATTGATTTTCTATTAAAACTCTTTTGGGATTTCCATAATTGCAAAGAATGTCTCTTCATTTTACAAATCGATCTAATATCTAATACATTATATCTCATTTTCATTGATAATCGTTTAGTTGAAAGAGATAGAAAGGGAATAGCTTTCGCATGTTTATTTTTTGATTAAAGCCGTTCGCATAACCGTCATAATATTTTTATTTCGTTCTTGAACTAGTTCTCTCGAAGTTATTCTGCTCGCTTAATAAAAACGATTCCTCTCAATCGATTTAATCTCAAAATGAAACCGGTTTTGCACACATCAGGTAGAGCAATTTTTGTATTTGTATTTTTCTTCTATATATTTAACAAAAAAATAAATTTCATCGTAATAATAATTTTTTTATTACATCGCTGTAAAAAGAACAAATGTTCTTCTGCAAGTGCATTAAAATCTTTCTCGATTGTGCAACAAACAAATTCTGGCACAAAATCAAACATTCTCACGCAACTTCGTGACTTTTAATATTCATTTTTAGGAACGTTTATTAATATTACACGAATGATTTATTAATATCAAAGAACATAATTCTAAGTATTTGATGATAAGATGGGATGAATCGAAAAATACGATATATCGAATATTCTAGATTAAGATAATATTTTATTCCAAATGAACACGCTACCGATCGATACGAAATTTCCCGCCATTTCTAGCAAATTCAAGAAGGTTCGGCGTGTTTTTCGAAGGCGTCTACTAACTCACGTTTTTATTAGTCAAACTATTAATGCCGCTCTTAAGCCGGCATTTCGATAATAAATCTGCGTATAAACGTGTAAATATTTAATATTAAAGTAAACTTTAAAGGATATTACGTCTGAAATGTTATAACGAGAATCTTCTACAAGTTTAACAAAAAAAAATAGCTATATTAGAAATGAATAAGAAATATTTGGTTAATAAGATAAATCATTGATTTCAAATTCATATATGTAAAACAATTAATTATTATAAGTTAAAAAAGAAAACAAACAAAGAAAACAGGATCAAAATACGTTATTCGATAATCGTTGAATAACAATTAACAAAAAGTCAAAAAGTAGCCTATGTTTTTGTTACCGATACTGTTTTCAAATTGATTGGAGGGTTTGGATTATTTTTAACGTTTATTTATAATCAACATTTAAGATTAGATTAAAAACATCATAATTTGTTTATATTCATTGTATTAGGTTAACGCAGATACTTTAATATACAAATTAATCTTGTTAGGCTTTCTATAACAATTACATCTATTAGTTAGAATTATGTCTTACAAATCATCTTCATGTTCACCAATGATGAAAAAGTGTAAAAATAAGTATAAAATAAGTTTGGATGCTCAAAACTTGAAGCCAGAGGACATAAGTATAACAATAACTGGAAGGAAAGTTACTATTATAGGTAAACACAAAGGTGAAAGGAACGAAGATGGTTACGAAGTTAAACAATTTAAAAGGAGGTACATGTTTCCTGAGACATGCAATATGGATCGTGTAAGCTCTACTTTATCAACTAACGGAGTTCTTACTATCACTGCACCTGAAATGGTATACGAAAGAATTGTCAACATTGACATTATAGAAAAACTTGAGTCGATGGAAGACGATGAAACTGAAATATCTGATGAAGATTAAATAGACTTCAAATCCTGAATTTAATGCAATAGACAAAACAAAATAAGACTGCTGAAGATCATTAAAAACTAGTTTCTATATAAAAATTTGCAATTAAATATTATTATATATTAATATTATGCCGTCCAATGACATTATGTTGCTGTCGCATGAAAATTATTGGACAAAATATATTGGACAACAAATAATTGTTGTTAAAAAGAATCTTGGACATATGTGCAGATATTAAAGTGTTAAGTCTACATAATTAATTATTGTTTTATTTTCTCTAAGATAGAATTCCATAATTTAAGAAATGTTTGGATATTTTATATAATAAAAGTTATATTTTGTCTATAAATCCGCTTTCATTCTTATTTATAAATTAAATGTCTCTTCTGAGTTGTAAAAAAACAAAAATTTCGACCATTGATGACTGATGGAATGTTTAAAGTTGGTCCATAGGAACTTGAATGACAGTGATTCTCTTCTATCAGTTTTTTGCAATTAGATTGTTTTTACTATTTGTACAAAGTTGAAAGTCTGTAGATTCTTGACTATCTATGGTAGGAATATTCAAAAATTATTTTATATAAATTAAACCATGTAATTTGTTATAAATATAAAGTATAAATATATTTTCTTTATGGACGGATAATTGTACATTGAATATACAAAGTATATTAAATATACAAATATATGTATAAGCTTACAGGAAAGTCACTAACATTATATAAAAGTAATACTAATTTTTATGATCAATTCATGTGATATTAAACATTTTCTTTTCTTTTAAAAATTCACTTGGTAACATTACCGCTCTATATAGTTGTTATTAACAATATCAAACTTTATCTTACTTTCATGATAAATATAACCCCTTGCGCTATAATTTAACAAGTCGAATTACATACTAAAGTTATCGCTACATTTTGTGCTTCTTATGTTTGACCCATAAGATTTGCCATGAGTAGGATTCTTGTTTCTCGTATTTAGGCTACAAAGCGTATCATGAATCTTATACGTTGTTATAATGCAAGGGGTTAATAACATAACATTCTAATCAAAATAATAAAAAACATTTTTTTAAATACAATAGTATTAATACATTTTAAGTATTAATTGCTAATTTATGGACGGATTAATCGAGTTAATACATTCTTGTGTAATTATTACATTTTAAATCTTTCTAAAGATGTATATGTCTTTAACTAAATATTTAATGATTACTTTGTTGTACTCTTAAATTGGTATATTAGCGTCATAACGCTTGACAATAAAAATCTATACAATATTTTCTGCACGGCACGCATAAGAACACTTTAGTTGCATTGTTTTATAAAAACAATCATTTTAAAAGCATGAACGAATAATTGTATATTCGCCAAAATAAATGCGTTCAGATCTAGATATTTGAAAATTAATAGAAAAAAAATCTTGCAACTTGAACAATCTATGATGATTGATTCCTAACATTATGTTGCAAAATATCCTATAATACTAGAAACCACTAACAAAAAGATAGAAATATTAAAATTAGTGGCACTGTTGCATCGGTTATCAAAATAACAGAAACACCATGTTACCTCATCATAATAATCTCTATGGATATCTAGCTGATAAATACTATTGTTAACGTAATGTCCTAGACGAACATCTTTTGCAGCAGGACGGCATCCCTCATAACGATCAGCTGGTATATCTGTTCTGAAACTGCGTACTGAACTCAAGCATTCTCTTGTAATGATGGTCTCAGCTGCATAAATATAAATTCATAATATTCAATCTTATATTTAACAATAAAAAGAACATATTTTTTTAAAATGATTGATTATTATAAGAATTAGAAGCATTACCCCCTTTTCTTTCAATTATTTTAACACATTTGTCATCGTACTCCGGACAAGATTCTCCCCAGTACCATAACCAATTTAACGGAGTGCCACACCCTGGATGATTACTGTTGCATCTGTAACACAGAAGACTTTCCCCTAAAATTATAATATTATTTATTAAATAATGTCTAATAAATATAGAATTGTCAATGAAAACTAATCCATAAGACCACACCTTACCTTTATTGATTAGTAAACTTAGTAGAAAAATAGAAAATACAATTTTCTTTTCCATGTTGATGAGTTCATGCAATTGTCGTCACTAATTGCAAATATTAACAGTATTGTTTAAAGTATTATTATTATTATTTGTTCTTTTAAATGTAATAAAATATATGCAAACACAATAAAATTCTTTTCTGTTATTCAACACACGCGTAGTTTTAATGAAACATGAGTGTTAGTAATTAGTTTTCCTATGAAGAACAGGTGGCTAAGTATTTGAGCCAATCACAATGCTCCATTTAGAAATATTTTTTAACTAGATGAGTCATGATTTATTATTATAAGTTAATTTATATTATTAATAAAGATTAATCGAAAAAATTTGCAATATAAAAATTTGTTCAGCATTGAAGTAAGTAGGAGAGCACAATATTTGAATTGAACTTGAGAATTGAACTAAAGAAAGCTTAATTTACAATTATCGACAGTTCGGAAGAAAATCTAGTGACATTTATGTTTGAATTCCAAGTATGGGACATACAATGTTTTATTATCGACGGTTGAAAAAACAGGAATCTACAGCAATCGATAACTAAGAACCATTCTAAGTCTGTTCATACTAAAAACAGCAGAAAACTTGGCATAGAACCTCAACAGCAAAATAAAATAAATAAGTGCTTTTAATTGCTTAACACTTTCCAAATCAAAATCGATAACTGCTCACTTTTTATTAATTATTTATTTAATTAGTTATTAATAATTGAAAATACAAAAACATTTTTTCTCATTGCTAAGCAAAGCAATGAAGTTTTCTATTGTTTTTTGTTTTCGATCAATTGCTCACTTTTTGTTTATCAGGCTCCTCGACTTTTAATAATTAATTATTTAATTAGTTATTANCAGGCTCCTCGACTTTTAATAATTAATTATTTAATTAGTTATTATTAATTGAAAATACAAAAACATTTTTTCTCATTGCTAAGCAAAGCAATGAAATTTTCTATTGTTTTTTGTTTTCAATCAATTGCTCACTTTTTGTTTATCAGGCTCTTCAGCTTTTAAAAATTAATTATTTAATTAGTTATTAATAATTGAAAAATCGAAAACAAATTATTTTTTATAATTATTTTTACAATTATTAATACAATATTCTTTGATAGTATATAATATAGTTATATTTATTAAAAAAATTTTAAATAATTATATTTATTTATAGTGTCTAAATACGTGTGTGCCATCAGAAATGCGTTTTTTATACATATATATTTTAAAAAGTAAAAGAAAATCAAAACGAATAGATGATAAATCTAACGATGATAACCTGTAACAAAAAGAAAACTATATTAATCATACAATCAAGTGATACAATAGCCAAACATACAAATCGTTCAATTCGCAGATGCACTTTTCAATTGAATTCTCTATTTACTTTAATCAAATCTCTATCTATCGTTGTAATGAAATTAAATTTAAACATAAAATAAATAAAAATAAAGAAATAGGAAAAATAAAAATACTACGTTACTAGAAAAAATAATATTTATTAATTATTATGAAATACTTTTAAGCTGCATTATATAGAAAAGAAAAATTACAAATTTAATAAAATACGATCAAAATGAAAAATTTTAAAGATGAAACAACAAAAAAGAAATTACTGTAATATTTACCGAACGTTATTTAAGCTTCAAAATTTAATATTACGAAAATTGTAATATTTTTGACTCTAACTAACACATATGCATCTTTTAAACGATATAGACACGAATTTGGTGTCCCAAGGAGATGGAATGGTCCATCATCTCCAATTACAACTACAAATTAACGACGAGCAAAAAAGTAATATAATAAAATATAAAATATGACTAGAGAGCTATTCTCTTGCTGTTGAACCTTTGAAAATAACTCAATAGTCTATGCAGTTGCCCTCTTCAGCCAAAATTAAGTGGGGGGCCTCTTCGGCATTTGCCTCTTCGGCATTTAGCCTCTTCTTTTTTCATGCCCTAAACGCTGCTGTGAGGCTTTTTTTAATATTTACTCGAATGCCTCAACAGATATTTGATTTAACACTTTGCATTTAAAAAATTAAATAATATCAAACAAAAGTAGAAACTCTTTGTAATACATTTTATGGTCTTGTAATACACTATAGTCTTCTTTACTCGACCACTTTTATCTTTTATCTATACTTTACTTTGTATTTACTATACATATAAAACAAATGAAGTATTCAGTAGGAATGACTAAAAAGAGCAAAGCTTTTATTAATATACTTAATATTAATATAAGTAAGTATCCAGCGTATTCAGCTATCTTCACTTTTTCGAAAAAAAATTAATTTAAAAACAACGCAAAGACTTTTGAATCGTTCTGATACTGATTTATATCTCGCGGTACAAAGTATCAGCAATATATAGAAAAAATACAAGAAATATTTAAATGATAAATAAATCTAAAGGTTGCTGAATCTTTGTATAATATCCGGAGAAGAGATTGTCCACTCCTAAGTGGAAATTATAATCGCGCGACTTCTCCGGTCTCTACCTACTTACAAATTAAATAAACATACACACCTAAGTATGCTACCAGCCTGTATATTGGCAATATTTAAAAAGATCACACATACATACATACCCACCCACTCACTCCACGATTCTCACACATACCACCAGGGTGCAAAAGCCTAAACTAGAGAGYATGCCCCGGGGCACCTCCGACACCCTAGTTCAAACGCGTGTTTTCTAAATTTTTGGGAGTACGTACCAATGCTGTAATCGTCTGATAAGGCTAGTGATTATTGCATAAATAACTAATGCAAAAATTCAAAGTATAAACTAGTATATATGCATACTATATTATAGTTTCTACAAATAAAAGCGGTAAACTTTACTATGCAAAACGATTGTTAAAAAAAAAAAAATTCGTATCGTTACGCGTGACTTTACAAGTTATTTTGATTCAATAACTTTAAAAAATGCGCGGTATTACGTATCGCGAAACGATGTACAATGCACACACCTAACGCACACACAAGTGCAATGTACACCGTGCTATGACTAGCACAATGACAGCCGCCAATAGGGGAAAAACTTAAAACTAAACCTATACTAACCGTTTCTCACCTAAACGAGTAGCACCTGGACACACGCATAGATGAGAATGCAGAAAATATAGGGGAGAGAAACGGGAGATTAGTATATTAGAAGCTGAAAATCCTGATCTAAAAAATATGATTAAATACACATAAATACATAACATATAAATACATAATACATAAAGAAATTTTAAAAAAATTTATCTAAGCGGCTAAGGACTTTACAATTTATTTGATAAATAATAACTTTTAATATCTTTTAATATCTTTTATATAATATCTTTTAAAAAATATATATATATTTTAAAACCTCGGACGACTCCTTTCATTAAGTTGGCTGTTCTAATAAAACAACTGGGCTTTGAGCCACCACTTAATTGCTAGAATCTATCCGTTCGCGAATTTGATTTGTCTTCTTGCTCATTTATTTATAATATCGAAGTATCGATATATCGAAATTAATTGCGATTAGATAAACTAAGTACGAAGCAATGCATGTAAGACATTTATTACATGCTTTTTTGGACGAAAACGAGTAAATTAATGCTCAATTTCACCACTACTAACCACGAACAAAATACGTAATAAGAAAGAAAGTGCATTAATTAATTGCATTCATAATTAAATGAATTAAACCGATGAGACAAGAAAACCTATCCTGAACTAATATCATAAAACATACAATACAATATACAATACAATATACAATTTTAATGAGTAACTCCTAGAAAGGAATTACTCATGTGCTCGTCACTAATTTATTGAAATAATTACAATCAGTAACTCGTGCCGATTAAGACCTTTCATCCGCGACATGATTGAGCTCCGGAGGGACTTTAAATTTTTGACTCACTGCATAAGAAGTTCTACGATGGCTCCAAAACACTCCTACTTCGCAGCAAGTATTGAAGAAGATCCATCGATGATCCATCGAAGAATTCATCTCACGTCTTTGATAAGGTGGAAAGTCCGTCGTCATATCTGTAAAATAAAATAGAATAAAATGATAAGGTATATGTAATATGATCAAAAATCATATCAAACAAAAACGAATAAAATGTTAATAAAAATGAATACTTACAATGCATTCCAATGGGATGAAGCTCAATGGCATCATGGTAATGCATCTCGCGTGAATCTAATGACGCGGTATAAACGAAAATAAGAAACTATAGATGAGTTTCTTTTCGCGAAACCGAAATTAAATTATACGGCGAACAACACTGACCCTAATTCGCGTTTGATTTTAATTTGTTTTACGCCCGTTCACTGACTATACAACTAATTCAAAGACTGTGGGCAAAGCAGTCTATTGAAACAAACAAATTTCACACTTTATTTTAATCCTGAAACGCGTTAAATTTTAAATCTTCATTGATGCACTGACTCTAATACGCGAACGGTCTGTGCGCTGTTTAAAGATAAAAATACAACTTTACTCGAACAAACTCTAATGCTATTACTGCGTTGGTCGCAGTTAATTATATATCGCGTATCGCAAAAATAGTTCGCGAACGCGACGGAATTGAAATTAACGAACGAACGTGCTTCTAATCCGTGATTTTAATTTTATTTAAACGATCAAACACTCCCGTATATTGCTTCGCGTACGATTGCAATGTACGAACACTTGCAACACTTCACAAACACAATTCAGAAACACTTTCAACGCTGCAATATTCCCATGATGATCTGAAACAGAAATAAAAACAAAATTATGAATATCATTTTTGTAAGAAAAAATTATTATAATTATTAAGAAAGTGTTTAAAATAAAATTTGACTCACGTTTATTTTTCAGTGATGAATACACGATAGGTGTCCTACCCTTAGGATGACGATGAGCACAAGTCTAAATCGAATAAAAGAAACCTATGGAAAAAACGAAACTGTTACATACGGCGTACAACACTGATTCTACTTTTCGATTCTTTTATATTTTATTTTAACGATGCAACACACGAGTACTTCATTGCCTACACGCTCGATTGCAATGATGTTCTGAAACAGAAAAAGAAAAAGAACATTAATGTCATCGTCGTAATAAAAAACCATTAAGTTATTATAGAAATTTTTGATAGAAAAATATACTTACTTTTAGTTTTCATTGATGACTGCAGGATGGGTATCCTACCATTAAGATGACGATGAATAAAATAAAATTTATGAAAAAATCTGA